GTTTTCCTGATATTCTGTGGTGGAATGCATTAAAATACGAACTTCCCCTTGAAACTCAGGAAATGACTCTTGCTCAGTGACAAAAACTGAAAAAGTAAAATTAACATCTGGTTTGTTTGAGGTTATAGCTGTACACATTTGTGTCTTTTCTTTTTTTTTTTAATGTATTTCCCGCACACTAGACACTGCTGCTAGAGTATGTGTGTGATCATCTTATGAGTTCACGCCTCATATTTCCAGGCGTCCCATGGCAAGGCCGGATGAGAAGCCTGTGGCAAGTGTTAGGCCCATCCAGTCAACCCCAATCCCCATGATGCCTCGCCAGGTTGGCATGGGCATGGCTGGCTCCAGCTCTGCTGGCAGCCTGCCTGTCAACTTCTTGCAGAAAGCTGGAGTCTATGTGCAGAGGATTGTCACCACAACTGGTAATTTATTGTATCTTTGAATGCTTAAATCACTGAAAATAACCAAAACCATAATATTACATTTTAAATTAATTAAACCATTTAATCTTTCAACAAAAATGAATTATGTCTTGTGAAATGTAATGACCAGACATTAACATCAGCCAGTTTTTCTGAATCTACAGATATTGTAATCCCAGGAGCCAACAGCACAACGGATGTTCAAGCTCGAATCAGTGCAGGAGAGAGTATCCATGTTATCAGAGGATCTAAAGGTAGTTGCAGCAACACAATAATTACTCTCTGCATACAGAACATTTCGGTAAACTCATCTGACACTTGATGTTTTCTCCGACACAGGTACCTACATCAGGACAAATGATGGAAGAATATTTGCTATTCGATCTGGAAAGATCAGTAGACCAGCAGTCGGGGGCTCAGCTGCTTCAAGAGGTATACATTTTGATTTATTATTCATGTTTCCTCTTGCATAGTTTTGCATTACAACCATCCAAACAACTCATACGACTTTGAGGGTGGGGTATAAGAATACATAATTCAGAGGCAGAGATGATGTACATGTTTCATGACTGTATTTTTTCTCTCCCCTCCACAGACACCCAAGGTTCCCTGATCCATCCAGTCAGTAATGGCTGTTCATCCCCTGTGGATCAACAACAGTGCTCCCCCAACAGGGAACAGCGTCCCTCCTCTCCTTTAAGCTCTGAGATTCTCAGAGAACTCAGCCGCTACACTTCATCCTCAGGTGATGCAGCTGCTGGCATGGGGAATGAATTGCCGTCACCCCCAGATGTGTCTGCTGTACCAGCAGGGGATGGGAGCAGTTCACAAATCAATCAGCCTGGTGATCTCAGTAGGCAGCTCAGTGAGGACCTCCTGAGCTCAGCATTAGAGATGGCTGGCACAAAACGCAAGAGTACTGAAAGTCAGGGCAACACACAAATAGGAGGAAAACGCACCTCTGCTGCAACACGTTTCCCTGGACTGTCCATGGGCTCCAGTGGGCTCAGTTTTCCTCCTGTGGGTTTGAACTCCTCCTCCCTACTGGGAAACCTAGGGCACATGAGTCACCCACTTCTCATGGGTGGCAGTGGTGGATCATCATTCCTTCAGACACCAGGACAAACACTGGCTGACCTACAGAACATGTTCCCGTCTGCAGGCTCAGACCTACTGAGACAGTCTGCCACAGGGAACGGACACCTTCCCACCCCCTCCCCATCCTCTCTGCCCACTGTTTTCTCCTCTGCTTCCACCACAATTCCCATGTCATCGACGCCTTCAGCAGCAGCTTCTTCCTCCCTGGCTCCGGGTTCTCTGCCTCCATACTTGATGAACCCCAACATGGCTGGCTTACTTTCATCAGGTTTCCCTCTCAACTACAGTCAGTCGCTGCTCTCTGAGCAGAGGATGTTCCCCACCCCTCTCCTCTCTGGATCAGGGGGGTTCTCTGCGCCTAACTCCAGTTCTACCACATCCAGCTTTGTCTCTCATTACAACAATCCCACCTCCAGCCTTTTGGGGGCAGCTCTGACCCAACCGGACAGATATCAGAGTACAGAGAATGGCGCCAGTAGTTCTGATGACGATGTTATAGAGGTGACGGGACAGTAGAGACTCATTAAGTCACGGAGAGGCAGTTTCACACACATTCTTGTTAATCATGGTTAATGAAAAAAGACATAAGGGATGGGAATGATACACGTTTACATGACTAAGTGAACTCTGAATTTTGTTACAGTATCTACTCTAACCCATAAATGATGGCCAGATACATAGTTACTTTCTGAATGTGTGAGCACATCAGAATACAAGTGAGAAAGAGAGAGAAAAAAGTGAAACTCTTGAATGATGAAGTGACATAAAAACAAAAATAACTTTTCAGGAGCTACAAATTTATGTTAATCCTGAACACATACAGTTTGTTGGCAAAGGCTGTGGTGAAGTTATATGTGGTTCAGCCTTGTTAGAGTAGCCATTTGAACAGTGTACATCAGTCACCTAATCATCAGTGAACTAAATTTCCTAATTCTCTCTTTAAACTTCTCTCATACACGCACACACACAAACACACAAATGGACTGTCACTCGCAAATGAGAGAATCAACTTGTACCTTAAAGACTTTACAAAGTCATAGTAACAAATCCTAATGCTGAATATCCCAGACTTGTTCAGCTGGAGCATCAGAGCAGTGGGAACAGACGTTTGTCTTACGGGGACCAGCTGAAACTATCGGGGGCTTTGTAAACACAGCCTCCCCTGCTACATTTGGAAGCAAGGCCTCACCTTGCAGTTAGTTTCATTTCCTCTGAATTCAGATGGAATGATGTGACTAAAACGTTGTTGGATTTTCTCATGATATATTGCTGTGAAACAGTCAAGTGCATTATAATTTGACTTGCTGATAAACATGGCAGCCGTACTGACCTGCTGAACACTTATTTACTCATTTCAGTTTCCTTTTCTAGTCAACAAAACAGAAAAGCTACATACAACAGTAAATAAGTCACAGTAGCTACAGAACAGGGTGTTAATATTTGTTAAAAGACTTACCAATATATTTTGAGAAAATCCTTCAAGGCTTACCTTTTGACAACAGGAACTTTAGGCTTTCAGAGCATATTTTAGTCTTTAGCAATTTGATAGACATCGTAGCATCCCCTGTTGAAAGGATATTACATGTGATACTATAACTGAACATGTTGATACTTTGTAAATAGCAGTCATTATCATTGTTTATATTGCAAGTTAATACTGTGCAGTGTGTAGATTCTGGTCATAGGGAGATGGTTTATTATTCCAGTGACTATCATGATGATAAACACACCCCTGCATTAATGCTGGGGAAACAAATTTATGTTCTTTGTTATCAGTTTTTTTTCTTAAAACTAAAATGAATGTACTTTCATGTCAGCCTTTGATAACATGGGCTGGGACATGGATTCAGACTGTGTTCTTTCATTTTTAGCCTTAAATAACACAAAGGGGTCTTGAGTCTTTGCATTTACCTTAGTACATCCTTTCTACAAGTCTGTTGGAAGAACTACTGAGCATTTAGACAGTCTGTGTCAAACTCAAAACACAAGTGTAGGGCAGATTCAGCATCATGATTAAAAGCACGAAATGTGAAAGCCAAAAGGAGTGAAATCGAAGATACAATGTTGCTAGCTCATTCGCAAAAGCTTGTCACAGCTCTTTTGTTGCAGTTTTTACTTTAGTGTCCCGATCATCTGTTGATATATCATCGCTGAGTCAGCCTACACGCTTCGTGTAGATTTGACTGAATCATTTCCTTATGAATCGTTTTCAGAAACTCTTGAGAATAAATATTTCCTAAACTGTAGAAACCATTGCATTCATGCACCCTGAGTCAATGTAGCCACCAACCATCAAATCATGTGTATATATATATATATATATATATATATGTGTGTGTATATATATATACACACATACATCCAGTTGTATATATATATATATATATATATATGTGTGTGTGTGTGTGTAAATATACATATATATCTATAATATGTATGTATATACATACATACATATATATATATATATGAACGTTACATTACAACCACCAATGACTTTGTCAGGTGGTGTGGTGGCCTTACCAAACTGACAGTGCCATTATATGGTAGCTTTTCACCTAAATGCAGTGCAGTGTAAGTAGCTTCAGTAGTGTCAGTCAGTGTATATCTGCAGTGCTTTAGGGAGTTTAGGTCTTTGCTGTTCTCTGTAGCCTTGTGTTCCTGTGTTGTGAAGACACCTCAAGGTATTTAGATTTAGGAAAGTCCCTTCCCTCCGTTGGTAAAATAGGCTAAATGCAGTGGTTAGCCTTTAGAAAACACTGGATAACCTGAGACAACAAAGCATTCCCTATGAAGTCACATTTTTTGTAGAAATGTTTTCTTGTGGGGCCCTTTTGCCCTCAAAGTCTGAGTACTGTTCACTTTTTGTTTTATTTGCTACTGGCTCCATCCCTGCCATTCTGGATGCTTCATTTCTATCATCAAGGACATCTCCAGTTTTCTTCAGCATGTCTTTGGAACTTGTGATTTGGTTTGTTTCAGATTTGAAGTTGGAGCTGGCACTTTGGATCATATCTGCTTGTGAACTGTACAAGGTACAGTATACTGACCCCATGTCTTTATTCCCAGTCTTCTCAATCTGTTGAAAACATGTTACATTTGAATCTTGGGAATCATTAGTATATTAAAACAATGGTTTGCCATTCTTGTTAATTATGTGTATTTTTATGTTTCATGGGAATACTTCATTTTCTAATGTTTTTTATAACTTCTTATTGGTGTTCACTCACCTGGCAGTTGTTTCCCTTATTTCCATGTAAGTGTCTGAAATTTATTTATTTATGATGGAAAATATATTGGTTTTTTTTTGTATTATGTTTTTTAACCTTTTGTTCACTTTGACCCATTGGCGGCTGATCCAGTAAGAATTTCGTACATGCAGCCTAGATCGAAGCAGAATATGACTGTGTTATCAATGTTATTTTAACAATAAAACACTCTTCTATTGCAGTGTGAATTATTTACAAATGCTTTTAATTTAGGACATAACCTTTACTATGACATTATCATCTCATTCATGTGGCTAAATCAGTAATCACAGGCATGATAATAAGCAACCTGAGGTACAAAAATTCAACAACTTCAACAAACAGTATATTCAGGGCTGTAGGCAAGATTTTAGAGATATAGAGGTCATGAATTTGAAAATCCAATAGTGGATTTGGGACTACACGTGAAAAACTCTAGGTCAGTTTTACTATCTATTTTTGTTCATATTTGCTGTAAATTTCTATATATCCATATATATTTTTTAATTAACTGAATAATTTTTTTGCCTAAAATCAGTCACATTTTAGAATCTACAGCCATGCCAGCAGCTCTCCAAGGCTGCACACACAGCGATGCTTTGCTAAATGCCAACATGCTGATTTTTAGTAGGTAATATGTTTTCCATGTTCAAAATTTTAGTTTAGCTTGTTAGCATGGTAACATTTGCTAATTAGCAGTGGAGCTGAGGCTGATGTGATGGTCAATACTTCTGCAGGTATTTGGTCTTAGACTAAAGTTACCATGGCTAAAAACATCAGAGTCCTGTGTATATTATGTAAAAAAGAAAATAAAAAAAACAGCAATCAAGGAAAGGGATTTCATTATCCACATTTGGTGCTGGTGCCTCTTGGACAAACTGTTGGCATGAGGCATCCTTTTTTACTTTTATGTAAATCAAAGTGATTGCACGTGACCGAAAAAATGAAATTTCTTGCACAAGTAGTCAGTGACAGTTTAGTTTAAGTGTCCATACTGTGTCCTCTGTCAAGACTGCAACCGTTTCTTAGCCATGTAAGCACTGGTGACTTGGTTCATGATGATGAGGGCACTGAGAGCAGGGCAGAGTGCTGACAGGTACCAGGTGTGTTCTCTGACAGAAGCGGTGAACCAGGCAGAGCAGAGGCCGAGCAGCAGGCTGATACTGCCGAGCAGGTAGGTGACGAGTCCAGACGCTGCGTGGTAGCGTTTGAGTTTGGCGAGCGACCAGCCTTTGGCCAGAGAATGGTAAATGAGAGGCACGGCTGCCAAGGACTGCAACCCAACCACACACACTGTGAGTAGGCCAAGCAGACCATGCCATGAGGTGAAGTGGGGTTTACCATTCAGGTGTTTGTTGTAAGCGATGGCTGCCAGACCCAGGACTGCACAGGAAAGACAGAGACACTGCAGAATCCAGTGAACACGACCTTTGGTCTTGTGTGGAAACCTTTTGATGGGGGAGCCATGGGGGGAGAAGAGTAGTATGGCCTCGGTCATGAAAAAGGAGAACTGAAAGAAAAGAAGAAAATGAAATCGGTCAACTAATAATTATATTTGTTCATCTGTCCATTATTTTCTTGATTATTTGATGAATTGTTTTGTCTATAAAATATCAGAAAATAGTATAAAAATTCTAAGAATTCAGAAGAAGAATTCTAAGAAAAGCCCAAAGCCTAAACTGATTTTCAAATTGCATATTGGAGAAGTTGGAATTGGTGAATTTTTTTGGCATTTTTGTCTAAAAATGACTTTATGTGAGATCAATAATCGAAATAGCTTTTTTGTTGATCAACCAATCTAGAGCTGTCAGTTGATTAATCAATTGGTCGAGAAAACTTATTCGGCAACTATTTTAATAATCAATTAATTGTTTCAGTCATTTCAAACAAAGATGCCAAATATTATCTGACTCCAGCTCCTAATATGTGAAGATTTTCTGCTTTTCTTTTTTATATAAGCCAGTAAATTGCATATCCTAAGGTTTTGGACAAAACAACCATAATGGAGACATTGCCTTGGTGGGCTCTCAGAAACTGTGAATGCAATGTGTTTACAGCTGAAAATATTTTTCTTTTGAAAGTTCCAACTTACAGCCAGTGTCATGAAGAAAGGATGCCAGGAAAACAAACCTGAAATAACACAAACATGAACATGAACAAATGATGAAGACAGAGGGACAGCGACATGAAAATATGTAAACAGTAGAAGCACTCACTTGTACCGGGCCGAGACAGAAGTGCAATGAATACACTGAAGACAATGCAGATTAAGTGGGTCAGCACTGCGGAAGCTGTTCTGGTAAAACCGTAGATCCGAGGCTCAGATTCAGACGTGTTGTGATGAACCATGTTTAGGTAAACTTGTTACGTGGACCTTTGCGGCTCACCAACAGCCGACACAAGCCCTGGGCTGTTTCCTGAAGCGAACTCGCAGTTTGAGCTGAACCGAAGCGGAACTGATGGTGGATGAAAAGTCTGACCTCCTCCTGCCGGGGCCTTGCTTCATTTAAAGACAGAAGACTGAGCTGTTCAAGGAGTTGTCACATAACTGTATCTTCACGAATCAGGAATGAATCTGTTCCCAAGTTATCAGGCCGGCATGCTCTACGTTATGTGGCGCCCCCGGGTCAAAAAATATACTTCCGGTCAGATTTTTCAATATAAAGCGTCGTTTTACCAATCCACCACAAATCCAGAATATACTCAATGTGTTTCTCTGATCATAATAATCCCGTTTATTGTACTGAAAAGACAATTTTCCGCTCATTTTTGCCTCCTCATGGAAGGTTGATCCTGCCAAACTTGTGCAGAAGTCTAATTAGTGAAAATACTGTAAGTGTAGGATTTCAGGCTCCTCACGCAGACCTTTCATTGCCACTTAACAAGAAATAACCAAACCCTCCAGTAGACATGTCACCAGGAGCTTGGCATCTCTGTGTTCTGTCTTCTCTGGATAATGAACCAGAGAGGACACTTCTTCATTATCCTCATTGTCTAACAGTCCCTTACTCAGCCAAACCAATTCTTCTGCATTGTCTTGTAAAATAGAGAGGGGCTATAACAATCTGTGCAATTTCTGTGTAAACACAAACCAAATTTAAATGTAAACCAAAATGTTAATCTTATTGCAACTTCTTTTTTACGCTTTTATTCTGAATACCCGGAAGTCTTGTCTGTTTTATTTTCTGGCCAACTTAACACCCTTAGTTCAGGCTGACGTGGAGCGTTCCTAGAAACATTCCCCAAATACATCTAGGGTAAAAAAAATAAAAAATAAAAAAGTTTTTATGGTTCAGCCATAACCGGCACTCTAGGCACAACTAATTAAGGTATAAATTATTTCAAATGTTGTAGTTTTTGATAATAATAATAATAACAATAATAATAGCTGCAATCATAGTTCGAAATCACATGCCCATGCAGGCAAACTAGTCTGGGTGCTTGTTGTGGGTTAGGTATAAATGTGATGTCTCAGACTAATACCACCCATTCCACATCCACCAACTCAATGGACACTCACTGTCCGCTGTTCATTGGCTATTGTGCTCCAATTACTCTCTAATAAGCTTGTGACTCTGCAAGGCCACCACACACTGGACACACAAGAACACAACATGTTCATTCAGGAGATCCCTCTCTCTATCTTTCCCTCCCTCCTCTCTTACATCCTCTGCCACTGTTTATTTAGATTGTGTGTTTCTTTGTTTATTTTTCACCAGAGATTTAGACTTGGGGAAATGGGATTTTATTGTGACCTGTAATTAGAGTCCAGTGTTGGAATGTAAATAAGTATAAGTACTGCGCTGTACAATAGTCAAGTTCTTGAGTATTTAAATTTTCTGTATGGATAATTTATTTTTTACACTGTATATTACACTTTTCGTCCATTACTGGAGTCCAACTGAAGTTGTACTCTATATGAAATCATACATTTAAACATATTTGTTTTCAATACAGCTTTGGCTGTTTTGGAGCCAAAACCCAAAATAGTAAAAATTAGTAGCCTACTAGCTATTGTTACCTGCAATAAATGTGGAAAAATTGTCCCATGACCTCTCTCTCATTTTACTTGCAGCTTTATCTATCTATCTATCTATCTATCTATCTATCTATCTATCTATCTATCTATCTATCTATCTATCCATACATACAGTACATACATAGATACATACATACCTACAGTAATAAAAACTCAGACTCGAATATAACATAATAGGTCATTGATTAATGACCTATTGCCATTTAGATTTTTTTTTCAATAATCAAAGAAAAGGGATGTTTCATAACCTGGCAAGAAGTTGTTTTTGTTAATGGCTTTTTAATGCTCTACAAATTATGATTTATTAGCCACTAACAAAGCTAATAGGCTTACAATAAAGGGTGTCTTATTAGAAAGAGGTGGGCCACTACTCAAATGTTTAATATAGTGTATCTTCCATGACAGTACACATGCAGTATATTTGTAATGTGTGAGAGCAGTGATTCCTGTCATGGTGCCTCTCTCAGGATGGTTTAATACCCATACGGGATTAGACGGTAATCCCGCACTCCCAATGTGCATGCGCAAACAGAAGTGCGTGCGTCTGGCGAGGGACGGTTCGATGTTAATTCAACGTCAAACTGCGACCACTCTCCAAATATCCTCTTCTATAAGTGACTTTGATGAACTGGACGAGGTAAGGTCATTTCTTTAACGGCTTGTCTGACAGCAAATCACTAGATTTGTTCGAGTGTCACTGTCAAATGAGTTTGTCGCCCCGTTTCAGACTGCAGGATTAAACCGGGCTGTCCCGTTACAGAAGGGAGCTGCTTCTTGCAACAAATAAAGAATAATTTTAACTTTTGTCGTACAGCCTCAAGCATACATGCCTAGTTTAGCATGAAAATGACAAAACCAGCAGAATATGCATGGATGATCCCTGTTACAATGTGCTCTTGTTGCCCTGTGGGAATAACTGCGCCGTGCGGTGACCCACTTGGCAGAAAGAGCCCCGGGTTGTTCATATTCAAGTCACAATGCAGCTCTATAGAAAACTAACGCAACTAAGTTTCAGATGCACCTGTGGATATTTTACTCGTATCTTGAAGCTCCAGACAAACAGATTCAGTGAACTTTTTCTTTGCAGAGACAGTCAACGTGTATCAATCCCTGCCTGTGCTTTCTGTCACTAAGGATTTGGGTTATTTACAAAGAAGAAAACATCAGTTTGGGATGTCACATATCAGATTTTCATTACACGATTTTCGTGGCCAAAAGAATTCAGGATAATGATATTATTGTAATATCTATAGAAAATGTGAAAAATAATAATAATAGCCTACTTATATTGCTATCAGTCAAATAATCTCTTGTTTATTGTGTGTTTTGTCTCTTTTTTTTAGCAAATGAATTAGACTCAAATACAAGTGTAGGGAGGCGGAGAGAGAGAGTCTGTGACCATACCTGTACAAAAACAAGAATTACACTTAATAGTTAGAGAATGGGCAAACAGGTGAGCTGATAAACAGAAGATCCACATGTCCTAACATCTGCCATCACTTCATATCACATATCATAGGTGTATTAGTAACACGATATCAGTGTTTCATTTTTAAATATCACAGTTATTGTCAATACTGGTTTTTTGTAACACCCTTAACCACGATGAGGTCAGGGTTAGGGTTACTTTTTTAAGTGGAAATATCAGCCAAATGTAAAGTATCAGAAGTAAAAATAGCCCACTCATCATGTATTAGAACAAATGACAGCCATTGTCATTGCTTCTATTAAATATTTTATGGATGTCTTATTAGTTGTTAAGTCAACATGTGAGCAGCATTGCAGGTTATGGGTTACTTATTTTGTACACTGTGTAGTTCAATCTACAACAATTCTTCATATTTTATGAGAGTCCACCACGGCCTGTCACACTCACCACCTGTAGAATGCAGGCTTTTTACTTTTATTGTATTGCCACTTATTTGCCACTTATTTGCCACTTACAAATGACTGATTGAAGTTGGTTCAATGCTTTCTGAATTTAATGAATGAAATGATAGTGACCCATGTTTTGGTGATAGAGTTTTATCTAAAATAGGCAGTTTTGTTTCTCTGTCAGGCTCAGAAAAACAGTAGGCTATGAGTTGTCCAAGGTTTGCACAGGATTATATTTGTCATCTTGTTCCATATTTTAACATAATCATATGAATCCTGGCATCAGATAACAAAGGTTAATCTTTTGTTTTTCCATTTGTAAAGCCCGTAGCATAATACAGCACAGACGTTGATTTTTGAATGAATTTGTAGTGCATGAAATAATACTGAAATAGTTCCGATTCTTCAATGTTAAACTGACCATGCATGTACTAAGACCGTAATGTACACAAATGTGTATGATTTCACTGTCTTGCAGCTCCTAAGGATTTGGTGGCCGCTTGTTCCTCTGCACAGCGCACAAAGCTGGAAGTGGACCGAATTAAACTGACCTGGTGCTTTTTTGTCCAAATACATCTCATCAGAGCCTGACATTCACAACATCCTCAATAAGGATACAAAGGTGTGAATATTAATGCTGTCTCCTCTCACAGCTGGATGTACACCCATACTAGCTCATGGACAGCAAGTTCTGACCTGACATGTCAGTGTCTGTATCAAGGACAGGATGTCTAAATGTGAGCTGATCGAACTGCAGGACCTCAGTGTAAATGATCCCATTGAACTGGCTGCTCCTGCAGCCCGCACTGTCCAGCCACCTGTGAACCCAGGTCTGCCCTGCACCTTCCATGTCGTTCGTCTGGTTGGAGACAGTGTCAGCATCGAGGCCCCTGGGTGTCAGACAGGAGAGGCTGCAGGTGGTCATGACTTCCAGCCCTATGGTTACACTCATCTTACCTGGTGTGACCTGTGTGGAGAATTCATCTGGGGTCTTTATAAGCAGAGTTTACGCTGCACCAGTGAGTACCTTCTGTATATGAATCTATTTTTAATTTGTCTGAAGGATAAGTCTGGTGATAGTCTATATTTTCCTACCAACAATAAATTCCAAAAAGTATTGTCTGTGTAACCAAAGCTTGATATAGCTCATTACTCTGTGCCATACAGCCACATTCTCATCCAAAAACTAATGAAAACACATCAGTGGGCAACACTGTGGCCTGCACTGAGACATATTCCTTCATTACCATGACCACACACTATAGTTTATTTGGAATCAATCACACACACTCTCTGGCTTTAATTACTCACATAGTCCCCACATGTACACCATTTGTTTTTTAAAAATGAAAGTGTATATTAGATACTCATTTTTAAAGATTTACATCTTAAGAAGGAATGAATGGGTTTAGTGTTGCGAGCCACAGACAGGGTGGAGAAGCTGGAAAATACCAATAGATGGACTAACACATTGTTGGTTTTGGTCTTTTCATGTAGTGATTTTTTTATTTCAATAAAAAAATGTAGAATACCACCAGCCTTATTATGTTCGGTGTGTACATGCTAAACATGTTTTTGACTGCAGGCATTGACCTAAAAAGCAAAAGCAGGCAACCAGCCACTAAATCTGCATTGCATGAGGCAGGATGACATACAGAGTGTCAGGCCATTCCTGCTATTATTAGTCCCATTCCAATGGGACTAATAATAGACATTGTGAATCATTGCTTATTTTGTAAAAAAAAAAAAAAAGAAAAGAAAAGGGAATAATGATAAATTTATGAACCTTTGAAGAAATGGCTGATATTGAGACAAGACAATGGCTTAATAATAAGAAATATTTAGCCATTTCTTTAAAAAAAAATCTAAATCAGCTTTGTAACCCCATGTTCTTCCAAAGCTCTAGTCTTCACTTTCCAATTTCCAGTATCACCATAATGCAGGATGCTTATGTTATGTTTTCCAGTCATGAGAAGCTTTATCTAACAAAAGGAAGGTCTGGCAGACTCCATGTTTTAACTGTATGCTGGTACAGATAGCACCTGGGGATGTCTTTGTTTTTCTGTATCTTTTGACTTCAGGCATTTCTGTGGCATATTTAGGGGCCAGTTCAACAAAAGAATTAGCTGTTGTAGCAATCAGAAAAAAACAGATGACAGAAGTGATAGTGACCTGTATTTTGATTAAATGTATTAATATCCATCATGAACAATTTTTACTTTGTAAAAAATATTGCTATGTTGCCTGTATAACATAATGTATCTAGGTTAGTGTGATTTGGCTGATACTTTCAGCACAGAGATTACTGAACAAAATCCAGAGCAGAGGGCTCTACACCACAAGAGTTGACCACTAGCCAAAGCATAACTGAGAATGCAAAATTTGCACCCTCTAATGGTCCCTCTCTCTCTCTCCCAGACTGCAGTTACACTTGTCACTACCGCTGCCGACCATTCATCCAGCTGGACTGCAGCACAGATGGAAGTTTGTTAACAGACCGGGCAGATTTCTCTGACGACTCCATCGAGACAGACACAAATGTGGTGAGGAACAAAGCTACAATCACAGATTTTTATCAATGGTACTTTTGTACAGAAAGCGGTGCTGTCTTCCTGGGATTGTTTTGTGTTGAAAGAAATTCATATTTTAACTGTCTCTGTTCATATTGTGCAGCTGGGCAGGTCAAAGCAGATGGAGACAAACAGATTGTCCACTGCTGTCCACTGTGTTTCAGTGTACCATATGTCCTCAAAGTTGCTGGTTTTATTACCTCTTCATTGTCAAGGCATCTATACAGAAAGTCATTTAGGAGAGAGCTGAGGGGAGGGGACAACTTAACAACTTCACAATAAAACAGATGTCCTTATTACAGAACAACTAAAAAAGGACTGCCCATGGTCAACTTATCAAATAATTAAAAGTCTGCTTTACTGTGTGTGTTGTTATATCATTTTGATAAACTAACTTTTCTTCTGTAGCCTCTCACTGATTGTAAATGCCTTTGTATAGGCCTGCAAAATCGGGATAAATCTGAGTTTGAAGAGTGGAAAGGCAGTTAGATTGTAAGATATGTATACCATAAATCCAGGTTACAAGTCATGCTTTTCGTCAGTTTTTTGCAGATTTTATTTTCAATTTAAAAAAAAAGTTTCCATCACATCTTTACCCACAAAAAAACACTAAAATCAGAGAGAAAGAATGGTCTGAATTCTTGCATTTCTGGACGTGTTTAAGCGCTCAGTGAAAGCTGCAGCAGAATGGTTTTGGTGTAGTCATGATGTGGACAATAATAAATGATAGGACGAGAGCGAACCTGTTCTGTCCAATATAAAATACAGTATATGTACATTATCAGTGAGGAGCATTTTTACACTCACACACATCAGCAATAACATCAAACATTTTTCTCCCAAGATAATTTGAGCAGATGTCCCTGGGAGTGGGCCGGTCCTTTAGATGTTTTTGTGACGTTTTATTGACAGGGAGGAGCAAACGGGAATGCTGAGGTCAAAGAGCTGTTAGTAGGATCAGTCTTCTCCAGACAGACAGACAAGCTGAGACATTTCGGACATTCAAATCTAAATCTGGAGATCATTCTATGATAGTGGGGGTTAGAGAAATCCTTAAACGTTCAAATCCTTGCTTACCTGAACCCTGGAGATGACCTGGGGAAGCACAGGAAGTGACTCACTCCGCAGTCAGGAGGACAGTGGCTCAGAGCTGGAACTGTACTTTACTGCATCTACATCTTTCTTTCACAAGGTCAGAAGATCAACAGTGAGGCTATGGAATAATTCATCCGTCCTGTAGGCACAGAGCAGTTTTCACTCTCTGTTTGGTGACATTGAATCCTGCATAGCTTCATTTTAAATTCATAGATTAAGATCTTGATTTTATTTCACTTTTATTTCTGCTCTGTCACTTACTCTTTAATGAAGACAAGCTTTCTGCTGGACTGTACCTGTTCTTTACTTTTCAGGATGAACAGATCGATTTGGGTAAACAGCAGTTAAGTGTCGCTGAGATTCAACAGAAGGTTAAGGAGTATAATGCTCAGATCAACAGCAATCTCTACATGATGGTTGTGAGTGACTAATCAATCATTTTTTTGTATGAGCATTTAGGCATGCACTTTGTAATTAAAATTGTAATAGTTTACAAACTATGTTGATATTGCATGAAACCATTTCACTCCCCGTCTAATGCTGTACATCTATTTACATTGCAGAATAAAGACGGGTTCTACACTGGTTTTATCAAGGTCCACTTCCGGTTAGTTCGACCGATTTCCCTCCCTCCTCCTCAGAGCTTGTGCTCGACACAAGAGGAAGATCAGCAGGGCAGACGGATGAAACGGCGGACTTCTTTCTACCTCCCTAAAGATACTGCAAAACACCTGCATATAAGCTCTCAAACACGGGTACGGGAAGTCATCGAGGCGTTGCTCAACAAGTTCACTGTGGTGGACAACCCAGCCAAGTTTGCCCTGTTCGAACGCACTGAGAGACAAAGTCAAGGTAGCATTCCTAATATTGTGTGTGTGTACAAAGTAAAACAAAACAGTGCCATCAAATATTAAATTCTGATTTTCTTTCCCTTTTACTTAGTGTACATGCGTAAACTGTCTGATGATCAATGTCCACTCTACTTACGCTTGTGTGCTGGCCCCAGTGAAAAAGTCCTGAGTCTGGTTTTGAAAGAAAATGAAACAGGGGATGTCAATGTAAGTTTCCTGGCTCTGAGAATGATCATATGATAAGCCTTAAATTGCCATTATATGACATTGACATGTGCTATATATACACAACTGCTTTTAATGTGAAATTACCCTCCTCCACAGTGGGATGCATTTAGCTTTCCTGAGTTGTGCAACTTTCTGCGAATCCTGCAGCGTGAGGAGGAAGAGCATGTCCGGCAGATTGTGAAGCGCTATGCTCTTGCTAAGGAAAAGATGAAGCATGCCATGGCAAGGATTACTACACCTGGTTGACCCTGAGTGATGCAACTGATTTTGTGATTAAACATGATGAAGAATCATGGATCAATAAGACAATTTCCAGCAGTGTAAAAGGGAAGGAAAGGGCTCAGACAATGACAGTGTTTTTAATAAAGATTGTTTAAGAAGCAGGAAAACTGCTGTTACATTTAATGTAGCCACTTAAAAGCGCTGCCACTTCTTCTGTTAGTTTAGCCAGTTATGAACTGAATTGGCAAAAAAACAAAAACAAAAAAGAAACATTAAAGATTACTATGAATTTAATTCATTGCAGTTGTTTTTTGAAAGATTATGCTGCTTGCTTAGATTATCTATAAATGTATAAAAAAGACACATTTGTGTTTTTCTAGTAATATATCTGGTGTATGTTCGGGTCATTTTATGTGACATTTAGTTTTGTTTATATTTTTTGAGACTGTTTTTAAATTTTGGCACTTTAATGAATCTGTGAAATGGTTTGGATAAGTTAAAATGTGAAACAGTGTGTTTATATTCTAATTATGTAATGAACTGTTGATAATAAATCATGGTTCTTTTGTTGTGATTTTAAGTTTCAGTTCAAGGTTTGATCAACTTTTGTGTGGTAGTTTTTAATGGCCAAAAGTATATGGACTTAGTAACCTTACACCCACATACATGTTTTTTTTTATTTTTTATATGCTGTGATAACAGCATTCACTCCTCAGGGAAGATTTTCCAAAAGATTTTAGAACATGGCTGCAGCAATTTACTTTCAGTCGCCACAAGATCAGGCTCTGGTATTGGCTGTGAAGGCCTGGCTAGCAGTCTGTGTTCAAATTCATCCTAAAGGTGTTGGTACAAAAGCAGGGCTCTGTGCAGGCCACACCAAACTCAGAAAATTTGGACTTTATGGACCTTGCTTTGTGCAAGCTGTTGCTATGCAGTTGGAACCACATTATTGTCTAGTATACCATTGTATGTTGCAGCATTAAGCTTTCCTTTATTTGCAACTGTTGCGTCTAACCTAAACCATGAAGAACAACCTAAGAGCATTTGGTGTCCACTTACTTTTGGCTATAGAGCACAGCATACTGAGATACTGTACTGTTTATGTCTAGTTAATGGGGTAAGTTTATACAACGTTTTTGCTAGATCCAGCTGCTACCTTTTCTTGTACAGCTTTCTTGTTTCACACTCCTGTCCGTGTGGTGGCGACAGCTCACCACAATGTTTCTTTACCAACCCACAGAGTCAAACAGAGATAACGTGCAGCGTTACTTAGCATAAACAGCTAGCGTAGCCGCGAGTGTGTTATGAGGTCTGAGCCTGTGCAGATTTAGCAAACCACCAAGACAAATTCATCAAAGAAAAATTCTCACCTGCGAACAGATCACTGTAGGTATGTTTTTAATCAAGCTGAAACGATAAACACTGGTTATTAAACCAGCTACCGTTAGCCGTTGGCAACGTCAGTATACGTTATTTTGTAAACCAGATAGAGACATGTTGACCTGGCTAATGCTAGTAACAGAGTGCTAATTGTCTTTATCTAGTGGTAATGTTAGCAGCCAGGACATAAAGTGACATAACAACGACTAACACACATGTAGGGACATGTCTTGTCGTTCAAGGTTAGCTAGCCAAATTAGCTGTCCCTCTCCAGATAACCTAATGTACCTAGCCCTCTAGACACTACGAAGAGCTCACTGATGTTTTTCAATGTTTTATAAATTTCTCGGATATCAATTAATCTTGATTAAACAGCATGACACAAGAGGATGGTCAGGTATGCGACATTGGCACGGCTGTGTTCAAATAAAGTTGTACTGGTTTGTCACTGGCCTGCTACACACTGACATGGATATAGGGCATATTAAATACATATATTATGTCATGTGTATCATAATGTATGAGTCTGGGATTTGACCTCTATTTGTCTTCTACTATATTAACCATAAGCAAGGTATAATTAGAAAAAAAATGGCTATAGAAGCACTACGTACACAGTAACTTTTTGCATTAACTATAGGTGCTATAGTAAAGCCCATTTGTTTTCTTGTGGTAGCACTTTTGATGTCAACAAAAAAATAACAACTAGGATTTCACACTCACAAATAAATATGTTCCCAACTCACACTTTTTCTCTGTGTTTCTTAATCCAAAATAGGAAACTACTTGTAGAAAATAATTTTGCATTTGCTATAATGTGTATTGCTGATCCTACTTCCTATTTGTCTTTTTTTTTTTATAGGTTTAAAATTCTGAAGGTCACATTTCATCTGGTACAGTAACACTGTAGCATCACTGGCAGTCCTGTGACCTAAGAAAATAATGTGCTGCAGCTGAAGATGGGTGGTAGCGGCTCCAAATCCAAAGGATTTTGGCCTTTTTCTGGCTCAGGTAGTGTGGATGATCCAACCAAAGATGGAAATGAGCAGTCACTGGCAAGAGTTCGAAGTTTCCCAGGTGCAACACCTTTTGTGTTTACTAGACGAAGGTAAATAAAGCCTCAGCATCATTTAACCTGCATCATACATTTTTTTAAGTGTTATAGCAGACATGTTATAGATATAGATATAAAATGACATTCTTTTAATAATTTTGTCTTGAACATGAATATATTGTCAATATTACAGGAATAATAATATTGATATTCCTCTCATGTAACTGAAAGCAAACATTTTTTATTTAATTTATTCTGTTACTAGTTTGGAGTTTTGATATTTGTTTAAGCTCCCTGTCCCCATTGTGTCTAAAATGTTCCTCAGAATAGCTCCATTTTGATGTGATAGCATTGCTCAGTTCCTGCGAGTGTGGCATTGCATACTTACATACAGTGCAGGCTTAAAACAACATTATCTAATAAGGTGCACAATTGGTCTGAAATATGGGTATTAAGAAGGCAAGAGATGTGTTGTTGACACTGGGCAACATGGAACCACATATTTTTACTGTTGGCACAACAATTCTGACCCATCCATTGGCACATTATAGCAGAAACCAGAATTTCTCACATCTAGTGATATCTGTTCATTCATTAGATTTCCATGATAATGTTTCCACACACTATCTCCATTCTCCTCATTTATATTTGAGTGCACAGAAGCATACTGTGGTCTTCTACTGCTTTAGCTGATTTAGCTGTCCTCTAATGTAGCTCTGTTGTACTGAGTTGTTATATTGATACTCATGGCTGACCTCTTAGCTTACTGTACACCCTAAGCTTTCAAAAACAAGGCGTTTTAACCACAGGACCACAGCTGACTGACTGAAAGGGCCATGGCATAAGAAAACTAAGCAGCTGGTTGTGTTTTTTTTTTAATGCTCACAGGCTTGTGGGCTTGATACCCTGAAACCACATTTTGTTTTTGTTATGGTTGTGTATATTCAGTGGCTCTCACATTGACCACTTCTGTTTACTGCAAATACATTATGTGCAACAAAAAGTAATTTGTATTATATGAAATGGCTCAGTCTTGTAATTTTGCCAAGCCACAACTCAAGTTTTATTTAATAACCTGTAATTGATGCATTTACTGAAGGTTTGGATACACTCAGGCATATTATGTATGCATGGACAATTAAGTTTTTCCCTGTGCTGCAGCTCTATGTTCTTTGATGAAGATGGTGACTTGGCCCACGAGTTCTATGAAGAAACAATTGTGACAAAAAATGGACGTAAAAAGGCCAAACTGAAGAGGATTCACAAAAACCTAACACCTCAGGTGAGGAAATCATAAATCTAAACTAGGACTTTACTCACCATCACCATTTCTCTGTATTATTACTTCAGACAATTTTAATCTGTCTTTTGTGTCCTTCCAGGGAATTATAAAGCTCGACCACCCGTGCATCCATGTAGATTTCCCAGTTGTCCTCTGCGAAGCCTGACGATGTCTGAGGAGCCTCTCAGACTAGCCACTGTGTCAACTCCGTCCTGTGGTTTCCTGTACAGCTGGAAGCCTGAACCACGTTTTAAAATAACATGATCTCTAGACATATTTGATGCCCTTATGTGGACAGCCCAATGCAATGTGTGCTGAGCCTCTGCATGTGATCTGTTTTTGGCTTGTGTGCAGACACAGAATAGGTCACCAGTGGGGATCTAGAAGGGTGCCAAGTTGGCAAAAGTAATCCGTTTACAGATCATGGTTTGTGTGCATGTATGTGTGAATGTGTGTGCAGACACAGATTGATGTGTGACAGTCCTGAATTTGTTGCTGCAGATTGTTTTCTGGTATAATCCACTGAACTCTAGGAGTTCAGGGGGGATGTAACCAGTTCTCTCTCCTGTCACAGTCATATACTATGTAGAGCAGCAAAGTTTAAGTGCACACTTTAGTTTTTTGACAACACCATGACTTGCTTTATTATGCATGGAACAGGATCTGCTTATTGGTAACAGCCGAGGGAGTTGACAATCAGTGGCCCACAAAATCTAAAGTGGATTAATGTCATATTATAACTTTGGATGGACTTGCTTCAGTGACCTCAGAGCCACACATGTACACAGCAGCAGTGAGTCTAATAAGAGATCCTGTTGTTTTCTTTGCTGCTTTGGCATACTGTTTCACTTTTAATTTATTATAACTGTTTTTTAATTACAATTTGAAATGCTGAACTGTGTCATGGTCCTTTTTTATATTCATACATTATCCTTGCACAGCATATTAAAGTGCATTTACTATGGATATACTTAAGAATTTCCTATAATAATTCCAGTGAGACTATCTGGATTCTTTTAAAGGACTTAAACGTTTCTGAAGATGAATATGTCCAAAGTTTTAAGGGTATGAACTAAACCTGAAAAAAAAAAAAATCCTGTATTCCTATATTAATGCACCTCCACCTGGACTTTTATCATTGTGACTAATGTAATTTTTAATCCTAACTAAAATGCAGGGTGAATGAAAGAAGTTTCTGGAGGAAATCTCTTTTCATCAGGTCAAATGTGGTTTTCCAGGCTGAGCCTTTATATAAGAATTATTTGGCAAGCTTATATGAGCTGTTTGTCAAATAGTCTTTTCTAACAAAAGATAATTCAACTTTTCATCAAAGGTTGTGAACACTAAAATGAACCGACAGGACCTGTTCACCCATGTAGTGGAAATAATGCCCCTGACCTCCAGCTGTGATGATATTAGCCACCTGCAGAGGAAATTGTGAAGGCAAACCATTGTTTGGAGATGAAGTGTGTGTATGTGTGTGTGTCTGCTAATGAGGTATGGATGAAGTTAAGAGAGAAGTGAAGGTCTCAATCCATGCCGTCTCCATGGGAAAAGGGTTTCTATAAAGCTGTCTGTGATATTGTTCTCTTTCGAGGATAAAGAGGGCTATGCCAAAATCCACTCCACTTTATTGCTTCCATGAAATGATTTTACTCTACATAAGTCCTCTGGGCAAGTACCTCTTTTCAGCTGAGTCTGGAGGGAGGCATTGCTGTACCTTTTGTTTACTTTCACAAAGCTGTAATAATATGCAAGGCCATGAGGTGAATTGCAGTATTTGGGTTACAAGAAAAGACTTGACTCAGCAAACCACCCATGCTCCGACTTTGCTGACAAAACTCTGGGCACATTTTAAAATGACATTTCAAAGTAAGGCATTATTCACAAGGACCATCACAATCTTTTACCTTATTAACGAGGATGTGTGAATTATTTTGATTTTTTTTTTTTTTTTTTTTTTTACAAACCTGCCGTGTCTAAACTGAAAAATCATAAATGACTTAGCTGGTTTACCAACATTCTCTGGAGTAACTCCTCAGAAGAGAAATGCATGGGTCAGGGGGTTTGAGTGTGTGTTTGAAGTTAAAAGGTGTGAAAATACATACTTTGTCAATGTAAGCAACTTGATGTGTTTCTTTGTCATTAGTTCAAACAGAGATCTTACAAAAAATCTTTTTGAAGTCCTTCATTAACTCTCAGAGGATTGATAACCCATTTGGTTCCACAAAAGGTTATCAATAAGCTATGTTTACCTTCTCAGCACTCAAAAATTTGTATTTTTGCGATTGTATGAGTCCTTACCATCTAGATAGTATGAACGAGTCAACTTAACAATGCACACTCCAACACTGCAGGAAGCTTTTATATGTTCTTTACTCACAAACAGCGCAAGTTGTATAATCTATAGTAAAGCCCTTTATACTTAAGTCACCAAAAGGCTCAGGATGTTTTTAGTTGTTGACCTGCACGTCTTACTGTATATCCCTGGGGTAATAATTTCTACAGACAATTTAATGGCACTTAAATACAATCTGCCTTTACATACATCATATAACAGACAAGGAACGTAGTGTTTCAAAACAAAAAACACACCGTTAATTGGTCGTGACTTTTTAGCAACGTTCAGTTGCTATACCTGTGTTTAGAACCAGTGTAGAGTTGATGTGTATGTGTCTATTGCCATTACAGTAAAACTGTTGTGACATTACTCACCATGATCACTTTTTTAGAAAACATCAATTAGTTGATACTACTACTGATAAAATCTTCATAATGGATTCAAAAGATTTTATAGTGTATCCAAAGTGTGTGTTGTTTACCATAGCAAACTTTACACCTGCCAGCACCTGAAGATCAAGAGTTAAGGCATCAGGCAGAAAGCCTGTATCCTGTATGAATTTGTTTCAAATGCTTTTGAGTCACTTTATATTCACATAGACTACTATAATAATAATTGTAAAATTTTGTTCTGTGTGCCCTTTCAATGACATTAGAGCAATGTACTATAAAATGTATATGTTTTAAATATTTCTGACTATGTCAGACAAGCAGGAAAAAGAGCTACTCTTTGAAACTCCCTCTATTCAAAAGGCAGCATGATGAGGTGTTTTACATACATGTTGGTAAAATAGAAGTCAAACAGAGGTGGAGTCTTCTGACTATTTAAATACAAGTCAGTGGTGGATTTCAACAGGGAATGAACAACTGCTTTTGTTTCCTCTGTGAAAGGTAACTCAGACTAGAGTAACAAACTTGACCTGTATGCATCCTGATCTTGAACAACTGGAACAGCTTGATTTATCTACTTTCATCTGGAGAGTAGTGAGGAAGAGGTTGCTGGTAAGAGACACTGTTTTGACACATCTTGAAAAGGTAAATTTAAAAACTAATTATCATGTTATCAAAAATGATGCTGTTTGCTTTGTTAACATAAAAACTATCACCACCGCCAAACATTTGCCAACATACAAAGTAATAGCTCATATTCAAGCTCAACTGTATGGAAGAATAGCCGGCCTCTCCTAATACAATTCTGTAAATACGAAAATCATGCTTATCTTGAGAAAGATGCAAGTGGCCTGGAGAGTTTGTATTTCTGTAAGAAATGTTTTCTTGATATAGGAGATTGTGCAGATTTAACTGCCCATCAGTGTACAGAATACTTAAAATTTACACTGCCTTGACCAGTAAACTACTACTTACACATTAATGAATCAGTAATACTAATCCTATACTATAAAAAACATGTAAGTATTATACAACACTTAAATTATCTTTCCTCTGCATAATGAGAACTTTTACTTTGGTGCCTAAAGTGCCTTTTGCAAACAAAATTTTTGTAATTTTACCATAAGCTTTTGAATACAGGACTTTTACTTGTATTGGAATATTTCAATATTTTTACTTTTACTTAATGGATCTGAGTGCACCCTCCTCCTCTGGGTGTCTAGTGCTCCAATCATACATTCAGTTTAGATGAAACTTTGACTAAGTCATTATTTAGTGTGTAACTTCAAACACTGCAGCAATTTAAACTTTGCTTAAATAAGTGACGTACTAGGAGTGTGATGGGACTCTGTATTGTATTTTGTTTTATCAAATTTATTCTGCAGAGTCTGGAGAACAGTCTACTTTGATCTTTATTTAGGGGGATGGGGGGCACCGGAATGTAATTTACCGTCAAATTTCTGACAGATGGGGTTATGACCTTGATAATTTGTTAATCAATTTTCATCGTATAGAACAACCTCAAGTTATATTCATTAAATAAACAAACAAAACAGACAAATTATGTGTTTCATAACTTCATAATTTACCCCCATGTCAGTAACTCAATGGATTGAGCTGTTGTTGCTGAACGTTGCCGTCATCAGGCTGCAGCCATAGCATCTCTGTTAGCCTATGGTTGGTGGAGTTGCCAGTTATTGACATGGATTAAAGGGACTATGAGTGTTATTTTTCACATGGCAGTGCTGTGGAAAAGTAATTTATCCGTCGGTTACATGAATGGAATAAACCCTTGTCGTCGGCTTCATCGGAACAGGTCAGACTGGACAGGAAGTAGAAACAACCCGTTAGCTAACTTAGCACGTTTACCAGTTTCATTGAAACTTTAAGCTAATTTGGCAAAGTTACGTTGATTTAGTCCGTGGACAGAAGAAGTTTAAAGTAGTCTACGAGAAAAGCAATTAACTGTCAAAAGTTTTTTCTTTGCCTTTTCACTCTAACCAACATTGACTTCCTAGAACGGAGTTAAATAGAAAAATGACACATGTAACATCAGTCAAAGAAGGAGTCAAGGAAGCTGACTCCTAAACTATATGTAGTAATACTGGTAATAAATTAGCAGTTCTTATCGTTTAGTTAATCTGGGTAGGTTATCCTAACAGTGTTTACTTTCTGCCTATTTTTTATTTATTCCCCTATTTTCGCCACTAAAACACTACCCACGAGTTCATGTTGCATGTACTACATCTGAAAGTCAGTAAAATTTTTATTTTAAATTCGACGTAAAGGTTTTCTTTATTTCACAGATTTAATATTTGTGAAATTATTAGAAAAGTACTGAATTCCTTGGATTATTTGTGGGGATATGTGGAACAATTTTGGTTTTCTTTTTTTGCTGAATTTAAGAAAATATCTTTGTTTTTCTTTTCTAGAGAAAGAAGAGAGAAGGTGAGCAGTGACCATGGAGACTATATTTCACTCTCTCTTCACCACAGCTGGCCAGCTGCCTTGGTTGGTTCTGACTCTGTTTACATTGTGGACAGTCTTGTGTTCAGCAGATGTAAAGCAGACAAGACGGCCATTATATTCCCAGAAGCCAGTTCTTCTTACATGGAATGCCCCAACACAGGAGTGTGCCCCGCGACATCGTGTAACTTTATCTCTGGATCAGTTTGACATTGTGGCATCGCCCAATGAGGGCTTTGTCCGGCAGAATCTCACTATTTTCTATAAGGAGCGTCTCGGGTTGTATCCTTATTATGAGCGTGGTGGCATCGCAGTGAATGGAGGTCTTCCACAGGTTGCCAGCCTTACTCAGCACTATGAAAAAATGCCTGAAGCTGTGCAGAAATACATACGTGAGCCAGAGGCAAAAGGTTTGGCTGTGATTGACTGGGAGGAGTGGCGCCCACTGTGGATCCGAAATTGGAACATTAAAGATATCTATCGAAGTAAATCCCGTGAAATGGTGGCCAAAAAGAATCCTAAGTGGACCCCAGAACAAGTAGGAAGAGTTGCACAGCAGGAATTTGAGCTATCAGCTCGCAAATTTATGCTGGAGACTCTAAAACTTGCCAAGAATCTGAGGCCCAATCAACTGTGGGGCTTCTACCTGTTTCCAGATTGTTACAACCATGACTACAGGGGTAGCCTGAAGAACTACACAGGCCGCTGCCCTGTTGTGGAGATGGCCCGCAACGATCAACTAAATTGGTTGTGGATGGAATGTACAGCATTCTTCCCGTCTATATACATGGATATTGTACTGGAGTCTACAAATTATGGGCATCTCTTTGTCCGAAACAGGGTGAAGGAAGCGATGCGTCTGGCATCTGTTGGGGACGGATTAGCACGTCCTGTTTTTGTTTATACCAGACCTACTTACATTAATAAGATGACCCTCCTAACTGAGGTTAGTTGGCTAAAGCAACAGTCCATTAAGCACAGGATGCTTATACATTCATTATCTGTTATGTAGAGGTTTAGATACTAGCTTTAACCATTGATTAATAAATCAATACATTTTTGCTTGATCGGTGAATCATTTCATATTTTAAAATGTCAAAAAATAGTACCCCAATGATTATAGCCAAGAAGCTCAAATAGCAATCAATTCACAGTGATTTGAAATTGAATCAAGTTTATTAATTCAGTTATTTAATTATTTAACTTATTTAGTTTTCATTCTTTTGTGCTCATTGTATGGTACACCAATGAACTGTGTGTGTGCGAATGTTTTGTAGACAGATCTGGTCTCCACCATTGGTGAGAGTGTTGCACTTGGAGCTGCAGGTGTAATCTTCTGGGGGGACACCTCCTATGCAAGCAGCAATGTAAGTACTATACCTTCTCTGCTCTTATGACGCTGAATAGCCTGATGTTCAGTAGTTTGGGGTTAACATCTTTTTTTTTTAATTCTCCAGACCAGCTGCTCCATCCTAAATGAGTATCTTCGGGGACCGCTGGGCAGGTACCTGCTCAATGTGTCCACGGCAGCAGAGCAGTGCAGTCAGGTGGTATGTAAATCCCACGGCCGCTGTCTTCGCAGAGTACCAGACAGCGATATGTACCTGCATCTCAGCCCCTTAACACACAGCATCACCAGTCAGGGTGGCCAGCTGAAGGTTACAGGAGTGCCTGGCCAAGCTGAGCTGGCTCTTTTCCGCACACATTTCCAATGCCAGTGCTACCAAGGGTACAGGGGTGAGGCTTGTGCTCAGAAAGAAAAAGGGCAGAATAGAGCCTCCTCTGTCTTAGGGACCTGGCCTCTTTGCCTTTTACTCCCACTAGTACTCCTCACTCTGCTACACTGAGGAAACAGAGAAGCCCAAACTATTCACTGCTTCTGCCAGCCCTGAAAAGGACAGTTCAAACTTTTTGACGTAAAGGTAGTAGGTTACCGTGCACTAGTAATAGTGATGCACTGACAGCAAAAGTCGTCAGTCCTGTCATCAGACATCCCCTAGTATGACAGGACATTTTTATCCCAGCACACAGGCCCATCTAAAAGGAATATTTTTGTCTGAAAAGTTGCACTGGTAGATCTCCAACCTCAGGACTGCCTCCTGGAACTAATATCCATCCATTAATATTGCAGCTGATTGTTAACTTACATCAAATGATGTCAAAAATCAGAACTGTCTTTTAAAGGCCTTTGCCATGCTCCATGCTGGCCCTGACCTCCAGGTTGGATTGTCCACACAGAGAAATGCCTTATGAAATTTAGAATGTTTTTTAAATTTTTTTTTATTATTATTACCAGCCGCGACAGCATGGCTGGTATTGTTTCCACCTTGTGAATCTGTGTGTCTGTGTGCGTCATAATGGCAAAATGTGGTCCCGGAGACACCTGCTGTAGCAGGAACTACCACAGATGCATTTCTGAGTACTTTGGCTGGTGTTAATATGTCTGTGGACAGATTTTGTCAGAGATGGAAACAAACATGCACAATACAGTCAAGAAACTTTACGGATGTGTAGTAGTGATCTAAATGAAGGCCGAGTTCAAACACGGGTGTGGTCTGACCCTTGAGTGGTGAGTAGTCATGTAATGTAGTAATAATTACTGACTAGTCATTTAATAGTGGAGTAACGACTACTGATGGGTCGGAACATCAACATGGTGACGGGTATTGTGGCTGGAGTGATCTCATTGTAAGATGGTCTCTAGTCTATCTGTTTTGTTTTATGATGAACACAACAGTGGAACAACATGACATTTAAGCAAAGGTTTGGGAGTAAGGTACATTGATGCCGATCGATCAACAGTATTAAGTTGTTGGTGCGTTACAACAAAATGGTACTTTTAGGTATTGTGCATTGCCATATTGCTACCTAATAGTTTGTATCTCTTGATGAATCAAGCTCTTAAGTGTTATGATCTATAACCTTATAACTAACATATAAATAGTGCTATATGCCAGAAGTGATAAATTATGGTAAATACAGTCTTAAATCTCTTTGGTTATCTTTGGCTTATAGACACTACATGGCTGATCCTCCTGTTTCAGTTCAGAAATGTGCCTTAACTGGGCTGCAAAGTGCTCTTTTGTTCTTCTACAGTTGGTTTTGTGTACAGGTTGTGATTATTGTGGATTTTTCATCTCAGCCCTCTTCTGGGCACAGTGCTTTATGATGCTATTAACTCCACAATGTCTACCAGGCTGGAAGAGATCGGTAAAGACAAGCAGAGAAGACAAATGTTACTATTTGTTTGATACAAATGGTATTCTCTAATTTATGTGGATTTCGCCATGAAAATATGTCATGTTAAAAAAGTTAAAGTTTTGAGAATCCAGGTAATGTAACTTTTGCCAAATTTTTGTTAATGCTCTAGAAGACAGACTGGCTTGTTCCAAATATACTGGTATTGATGTTTATTTTGGCTGATAAGAAACAAGAAATGTTAAAAATATGTTTATTTTCCATGAACAAATGTCTTGGCCGCAATTCTTAAGTAACCAAAGTAAGGAATTCTTTTGAAAATGTTTGTATTTATGTTTTTTAAACAGTAAGATATCTATATCAACCTCAGTTATCCAGTATTGGCTGAGTTCTATACATTATAACCAGTTTTATTTTTTTTAGCGTGTAGTTTGACTTGCTTGCATTGCAGCCTGTGTTGGACTCCTGCCAATGACACTGTTGATAGCAACTACTGTAGGTACATCTTCAAACTAGTAGAGTAAATATATTTGCTAGACCAAAGGTAGCTGAGTCGTTTCATATTTATAAAGTAGTCTCTGAATTTATTCTGTATGGAAGTGCTCAAAAAGGTGTTTAGGTACCTAAAATTATTGAGGAGTGAGCAGGAGTAGGTTTTGTTATTTTTCACAAACTGGAAAATGAAGAGTCACAGAACCTGTATTGCAATAGAACATTTTATGTAGCTGAACTTATGAAATTCTGCACTTTAACCAATTTTCTGTTCAGATGGCTCTGGCTTTAACTCATGTATATGAGATGAAATTGTTATTTTGCTGGATTCAGACGCCTCTAATCATACAGTCACTACGTTACTGTGTATTATGATGTTTTTCCATTTAATGTGTCATCTTAGAGATGCGTTTACTGTGAATCTTATCTGAACAGAAATGTGTGCTTCTATGATTGTTAATCTTCCTTGGCTAAAATGATCTAATGGTTTATTTGACATTATCTGTAAACACGATTTGTTAGAGCAAAGAGTGCTTAACTGATTAATCAGATTAAACACAGTAACACTGGTTTCTGTGGTATTAAGACAGAAGAATGACATTACCCTTGTATAATGCTGATGATTTTTCCCCACAGTACTTAAGTGACAAGTTAATACCAAGGATTTCTCTTTACATTTTAATAGGAGGCTAAAAATCTATACATAAAGGTAAAGGAAGAAGTGCTTTAAAGAGCCATACTGATGTTTTTTTGCATGTTTTAGCCTTTTTACTACAAGTATGTTAGGCACATATTGCCAACTATTTTTACTGGGATAGTGTTTTCAACTTTGAATTTGCACTAACAATCTTCTCTTATATGTACTACATAATAATGCATAGATAACCTTAAAATAAACTTAAATGCACACCAGTCAGAAATAATATAACATCTGTAACTGAAGTAAAACATGCAAAAACCAGTCTGGCCCTTTTAAGACTTGTTTAATATATTAGGAATTCTTCTTGATATTATTTTGAAAGGATGGAGCCTTACAGAATAACATTCATTCTGAAATATTTAAGTATCAGACCAAATTGTCTAAAAAGGTTGGTGGATAATACTATGTTAAAGCACCAGTTTCATTGTGCATATGTTTATGTTTAACATGATGTCGTCTTGTTCATTCCACAACCTCAGATTGAACTGTTGTACCATTCCACCTCTCCATTGTAGAAGTAGCCTGTTTTAGTTTTAATAAGAAAAATACCTTAATTTAAAAGCCTTATTTTGCCAAAGTGTATTGATGTTATTGTTTTAAACCAAACTGGAGAAAAATCAATGGATTTTGTATTTAAAAATATTTCATATTTGCCTTTTACATCCAAGAATTTCAATATTAAAAAAGAATTTTGCAGTTTTTTTTGTCCTGTTTTTCTTTTTTCATGCATACTGTAGTCTACTGGGAGCTTTTTTTTAATTATTACTGTAAGCAGAAAATATATTCTTCAGTTTAGAATTTTGGTGCTCCATCCATTTGATTGCAAAGGTTTACAAAAATATTTTAGAATTGGGGAAAAAAATATGCTGAATATGTATCAAAAATAGTATAAAATGTATAAAATTCTCAAAGACTAATGTACACAATAGTTTACAAAAAAGATAGGAAAAAAGATGAAAGTAAAAAGAAGTAATGTCACGATGCTTGTCAGTGTTTTTATGGCATTGCAATTGTGAAGTCTGAAGTTTCAGGTTATTCAGATAGATACTAAAAGTTGAATTAAGTACACTGAAATTCGGTAAAAATGGAAAATTGGCTTAAGATTTTTTTCAAAAATACAGTTTATAAAATTGCACATCCTTTCCAGCGCAAAAGTATCTTAAATCAAGGTATAAATTTATTTTTTGAGGGAAAATTAATCAAGCTGCAAGTTTCATCACGTTTTTTTAGTAAACAAGTCTAGTTCATTCTGAGACAAAGAAAAACAAACATTTTCACTGGATAACTTAAAGTTTTATCTTATTTGTTGACAGATGTGTGTATTTATTTTCTAACAGCTTCAGAAGGAAATAGTTGTGATTATGTGCAGCACGTAATGTGGTCCGACGGGGAACAGACGGTTTAGACCTATATACAGTCGATGGTTTGGTCCGTGGTAGATTTAATATAGAGCACACACATATTCAACAGATTTTCTCTGAATTTTTCGACTTTCTCGTGTGACAGTTTATATCTAGTCTTTACCGTCGGTTTATCGGGGGTTCTTCCATTCAAGGAACACGGAATGAACAGGTAGTTTTTTTTTTATCAGAAAAAAATGTATAGTTAGCGTTAGGCACCAATTTGTCTCTCTCAGTTTGGAAAGCTAGCTACCACCAGCATCGACCCTTTCAGCAACATTTCCCATCACTGGAAACCAGCAATGCAGAAGACATGACGACAAAGCAAACAGCCTCGTCCTTCTGTCAGTGATCGTGTTTAGTTATCTCCTGTGTGTCGGTATGTTTCCCCGTGGTGCTGTATAGCTTCATGCATCTTGTCTGCATCCCATTGTACAGAGATGTAGCCAGAGCGACACATCGAGCTAATGTTAGCTTTCTTGCATGTTTTGACTAAATTACATTCACCGATTTACTGTTTTTCTGCACTGCTATGCTACAGATCCTTGAGCCCATATCCTGCAGGGTTAACTTTCCATTAACTCATAATATTTCTTGTGTTTTCTTTGTTTTTTGGATTCATTCTGTTTCCGTACACAGCCAGTCCTTAACTGTTAAAACATGGGTATCATTATCTACCATCTAGCGTTATAGTGCACTGTTGTTCGTTGCAGCTGCTGGGATTTAGATGGGCAATTCGTGGCAATTTTAGCAAGGGCTAAATTGTCTAGTGAAGCCTTCACCCGCAACTATGTCTTTCTAAGCTGCACACACAGAAAGATGCTGTCCACCTAACTAACTGCCTAACTGCCCAGCAGTACAAGCCAGGTCTTCTTTTTGTTTTTTTGGCCATCATTCTTATGTGTTACGATACAAGTTTATCCATCAAGTTCATTGCTGACGTCTGAAGATTTGGCAACATTTGTTTACACAAAGCTTGTGTTCCCTTTCTTTGTATCTCAACAGTGTTTTCAATATGAATGATGGCTAACACTATGAAAATAAGAAACAGGATTTAAAAACTTAAACATTTCTTCTTGAATCAAAATATAAGAAAGTTACACAAGCTGAACCACAGTGGTCTTGACTCACTGTCAAACAAACAGACATACTGTATGAATAGAATCTATATGATTGGATCTCACCAAATGCACTATCTACCATTTTTGCCTAGGTCGTCCTCGTCGACGAAATGAATTTCTTGCGCAATCGTCTTGTTGTTTTGGGCCTGGTGTTGCTGGCCACGTTACTGCTGTACCTGCTGCTGCCATCCATTCGCCAGGGCAGCATGGAACCATCTCTTGAGGCTCAAAGACTGGGGCTGATGGCCACTCCTCCTCCTCCACTTCCAACCATCAACGTGTCTGTACGCACCGGACAGCTGCCCGGGGACCCGCCACTGTTCTTCCGAGAGGCTTTACCCATTGATGGGGCTGGACGACAGATACTGCCGAGGTGAGCTGACAAAAGCAGAGACCTGCTTAGAACATTTTGGGTGATAATGTTCTTTGTCCTTTCAACTATTAAATCCAAACCAATTATCTAAGAAAGTGAACACAACAAACAGGTGGATCACTTAATGCATGTAAACGCAGGCAGTGCTGCTAGCCGACAGCTTTATTTACCTGATCTGTGCTTGTTATAAAATATTCATGAGAGTCATGGGAAAACAAAATAATTTCTTTGTGCAGGCTGCAAGTGGTCCTTCTCCACGGCCAGGCCTTCACATCCAAAACCTGGGAAGAACTCGGCACCATGGCCCTGCTGGCAACTAATGGATATCAGGCCTTAGCGATGGACCTGCCAGGTAGAACTGCAGTCTTGCTCCACATTATCAACACTAATCTTGGTGACTGCAGTCATATCACTATAAAACTGGATTGTCAATTTCTTATTAATTTGTAGTGTACTCAGCTTGGCTTGCAGGTATTTTGCAGAGAATAATATTTTTGTTTTAATTTTTAGACAGGTGTGTTGGCAGGCTGTTTCATGAGCTGATTGTGCACTCTTGTGGTTGAAAACAAAACATGTTATTACCTGCAAAATGCAGCGTTTTTTAAGAGACGAGGAGTGGTACACATCACATTTTATTTACTTGTTGCACAACTCTGAAATTAACTTTTACGTAATCAGCACAGTTAATGAAATGAAATCTCACTGCATCCACACACTGGTGGGAATAGCTCCTGTGCGTGATGTCTAGGAATCTCAACATGCACATTTTGTAATCACATTTTTTTTTTAATTATCATCTTTTTTCTTGGAAAAATTCTTCTTGGAGGGTATGGAAAATCCCCGGACTCAGAAGCTCTGAAGACTGACCAGAATCGAGTGGACCTCCTTTCAAGATTCATGGAGTCTTTGGGTGTCAGGGCAGCTGTGCTTTTGAGCCCCTCCATGAGTGGACATTACTCCATCCCCTTCTTCATGAAGAACAGCGCTCAGCTACATGGCTTCATTCCCATAGCCCCAGTTGGTACCCGAAACTACACTCCACAGCAGTACCAAAATATTCAGGTGAGGGAAGAACAGATTCTGTTGATGTGACAGTGGTGAGTGATATATTACAACAGAAACAACAGATAGAAGGAAATGGCCCCAGTAGCATGTGTTATGTGAGTAAACATCATGGTTAACCTTTCATTTTAAGGGAAACTGTGCCTTTAATGGGAAATCCATGCCACTGAGGCATGACCAAATTAACCCACTAGGGGGCCCTCGGACATAAATAAACTGCAAGGGCTTATTCAATGGCTGATCTTCCCAATCTTTATGCCTTGTGTACATAACATGTCACATTGAAATACCCATTAAGTTCAATCAAATCCAAATCAAATATTGTTTGTGATAAATCAAATTACCACAAAGTGGTTATGATTATTTTCATGATCAACATTTATTTTCTTGATTCATTGTTAGGAAAGGAGTGAAAGGTCTTCAGAAAAATGCTTGTAGTCCAAGTCGACATGGTGACATTGCTTGTTAGTTTGGTTCACATATTTGCTACAAAAAAATTACTTTTATAATTGATTGATCATCAAAGTAATTGACGATTAATTTTCTCTCTGTTGACTAATTGATTAAGCATTTAATAATTTCACTTCTAAATCAATTATGTTAATAACTGATAAATCTTATCTGGTCTGTTGCGACTGATGATGGTACTGTGCCGTTTTGGTATTTCTTGTCATTTTATAGAATAAATGATTGATAAACCAAAACAGAAAACATTAATAGATTAACTGAAAGTTACATCAGTTGCAGCGCAGCAAATGTTTGCCCAACAGTGTATTTTTGTTGTGTCATCATGATGTCCATTGGACATTTTGCTATATTTATGTATCCGATGTCTCTAGGCTTTTATGCAATAAGTCAACAACTTCGCCAGTTTCAGAAGAAGTGAGAAGGCGGTGTATCCTTACAAAGCTGATATAGTTGAAAATATGTGTGACAACTTTTTTTATGCTGGATAGTCTCCCTTACTCCTGTGTTCTTCTCACTCCAGACTCCCACTCTTATTGTGTTTGGAGCCCTGGACACAAATCTGGGTGCCCAGTCCCACAAGAACCTCTTACAACTTCCACATCACTTCGTGCTCAAGTTGGAAGGAGCTCGCCATGCCTGCTACATGGACAAACCCAGAGAATTTCACCAGGGATTGATCGACTTCCTCAGCAAATTGAAATGAAATGCATTGCAGGGGAAGACGGTAGAAAGACAGAAACAGAATAAAGACAAGGGAATACAGAAAGAGGAACACTAGTCCTGTGATCAGTGGTTTAGTGTGGTGACAGTTCTGCTAAAATGTACTAAGATCAGCATCATTCACATATTATCATCACATGTAGATCATTGGCATGGGAATAGGTTTTCTTACATGGAAAATGGCATGTAAAATTGTGTAGTGACCGTTAACAATACAATATTTCAGTTGTTGCCTTTATAAAATTTTTTCAATTTTCCATAATGTCACCCAAAAACACAAAACTAGTTCAGCTCAGCTTATTTTAAAAAATAGCATCAGACGTGTATAGTGGTGAGTTTTGTTTCATGTGTTTCATGTCTCTATTTGCATGTAAAAACATGGAATGTTTTTGCTTAACAGTTGCCATTTTTGTAGGTGACATGTAGGTTATTGTAAATATGCAAATGTAGCAGGTTCCTGTGTTGACATAGCTTTTGTTCGCTTTACATTTGACAAACAGATTTGTATATTAAGATCTGGTAACCATTCCAACTTACAGGCAAACACAACAAAAGCTGTTCACAACAAAAGCAAACAGAACTGATACACACTGTAATAAAAAAATGTATGAAAGAATATGGACCATTTAAAATGAAAAAAAAATGTTACATTTATTTGTATAACGATGATAAAGTTATATGTAATATATTTGCAATAAGTTTGGACAATCATGCAAAAAACAAACCTAAAATAAGATATGTGCATAGCTTAAAATAAAAACAAAAATGGTGTGTTTTGTATGTTTCAGTTGATAAACTGCCATGTTGTGATGTATTTTGTATTTTTTGTTTGGAAGGATTAATCTACTGGCTCATACCTTTTTCTGAAAAGTGTTCAGTATGAGTGTTACAACCACTGACATTAACCCACCATTTGCTTTGCAAATGTAAATTTGCTAGGAAATTTTACATACAAAAATAAGATCGGCTCATAAAATATGATGCCCTGATAGGACCTTTACTTTTATCAGGTTTTTTTACATGCCATTGCTATGTTCACTTGAGTAAAGGATCTCAATACTCCCACCACTACTGGTGCAGTGGGTGTTGAATAACTGCAAGAATAAAAAGGAGATCAAGTGCAAGAGTACACTTCTTGCACTACTGATCCTGGCTGTTGTGAAGAATAAGCTGCATTCCACTTTTTTCTCCCAGTGGTTTTGACTTTTGTACTAAGTGATGAGAAACTACTGTGTCCATATCAGCAGTAGTGAACACTTAATAATAAGTCCAATGCACATAATCACTTATGAATGACTGACTATTGAAAATAAGCAATCAACAGTTTACTAGCACCATAATATAGCATATATGATGAAATTAAAACTTAATTTTCAGTGCTGGCCATTCTCATAGTTTGCTTGGTCAGGCTACAAACATTTAATGATCCCAAGCTCATGCATATTTTTGTTTAAATTACATATATTTACATTAATGCCTCAACATTCTTTGAAACATTTTTCATGCAGTAAAAGTAAATTGAATTCTAGCGACGGGACTTTTATTTTGAAGGGCAGGAAAGGGCTCAATCAGCAGCAGTCAGCTGACACCATTACCTGACCAGCAAGTGAACTGCACAGGGTAAGTGCTGTCAGAAACTCCAGCTAAAAATAACTAAATTAATCTGTGTTGCTCGCCGCCCTCTTTGTGCCTGTTTACTAACTACAGTGTTAGCTAGTTAACCAGCGGTTTAGACGCAGCCGTAGCTTGTACAGCAGCTAGACACAGAATGGCTAGCTCGCTATTTTAGCTTGATTTTCCAGCGGAACAGAGATGCGTTAGCAGGTACCGACAGCTGACGTTAGTGTTACCTAACGTTCTTTGAGAAAAAGCTGTAACAAGAACTATAGTGTTAAAGAAAACGTCTCTGCCAAGTAAAAGACACATTGATAAGGTATCGTCCATATTATTATTCTTGACTGTAACAGTTTGAATGGTTGTGTTTTAATGACATTGTCCTTGTGTCATCAGAGGAATAAAAACATCACACCATGCTGCCTGACAAAGATGGTCCAGGTGTTGGAGGCGGACAGAGCTCTCCTGGGGGAGAAGACCCCTCTGTGAGTCTGTTCAGAGACTACCTCCGTCTCAAAACTGTCCACCCAGAGCCTGACTATGGTGAGATACATCTCTTACAGTAAACTGGATTCAAGCAGCATCCTTTGGAAATGTCACAGATGAATTTCTGGCAGTTATCTTTATGCGTAACTCAGTTTTTCTTTGTTGGAATATTCATCTTGATTACTTTAAATTGCACAATTCACAGTATTTTTGTTTCTGTTATTTTACTTGAAATATTATAATTGTGAGATGATATTATTTTACAAACCAATAGTAAAAATGTTCTTTAGATAAGTTTAAAACTAATCCTGAAAATGTTGAAGGAAAAAAAAGCCCAGTGTTACATTTATTTGCATGTATCAATTGTATCAATTTATTTACCAAAGTCCAATTCTTATCTGCATCAGTTAGGCATTAGGTGCGTCCAGTTATGTGCACAGTTTTTGGTCTTAGAAGAGAAAGTTAAGCTGTCCAGCAATACTGTCACGCCAATCTTTGTTTTGAGGTGAGGTTTTATCAGCAGACAGGTATACCTCACTCTTATGATATGGCAACTCGGAGGATCCCCCTCGCCATGTGAATTTGTTAAAGTTTTTGTTTAGGATGCCCCTTTTTATTTGGAGTTGTGCCAGGCATGACCAACTTGGAAGAGACCTTGTTATAGACCCATGGAAATGCTAGAGGGACTACATCAATTAAAGCTACTCTGCTCACCTGGTCGCCTCAACACACTGACTTGAATAAGTAAAATTGATAGAAACAGATTGATTCCTTGGATTTCTGTCCTGGTTTGGTGATCTTACCAAAGTCCAACAGTACCATCACAACTAACAACAGCAGGAAGTTTGACTATGTAATATTCTGTTTAATCATTTGTAGATGCTGCTCTTCGGTTCCTGGACAGAATAGCGGAGGAGCTCGGGCTACCCATGAAAAAGATTGAGGTGTGTGTGACTGATGGTAATTTAATCCATGTAACCCACACTTGTCCACATGTTTCAAGCATAGTACAGACATTTAGTTTTCCCACCTGCCGTTCTTTCTCCGTTTAGGTTTGTCCAGGCAGAGTTGTGTCGATCATGACATGGGAAGGGACGAACCCGAGCTTGAAATCCATCTTACTGAATTCCCACACAGATGTTGTACCTGTTTTCCAGGTATGGCGCCCGTCTCTGTTAATGGTGTTAAAATCCTGTTATTACCTGTAATAGACATGAAAAAAATAGATTTGATATCAATCTCTTCTCCAGGAACATTGGAAATACGATGCTTTCAGTGCTTTCAAAGATGCAGAGGGCAACATTTATGCCCGGGGAACACAGGACATGAAATGTGTAACTATACAGTGGGTAAACTGCCTTGATAACTTTTATTAATCAGGATTTGTGCTCTAGTGTTGTTGTGATCTTCACTTTTAATCATGTTCAATGGGAAACACCTGTTTCCACTCATCCAACCTGTATACTGTCAGTTCAGGTGCCATATTTTTATTTCTGTCACAACTCTGTTGTTTCTACTTCTGTTCTCTGTAGGTACATCCAGGCAATCAGAAGACTGAAGGCAGAGGGACGGAAACTGTTGCGCACCGTACACTTAATGTTTGTTCCTGGTAAGATATTTGATTGCTTAACTCCTCCATTCCTGATTTGTTGTTACAGACTCTACACTACGCTGTTGCACCCACAGAGGCGTTTTCACTTATTCCGTCTTATCAGACCTCTTCTCAAGACTGTTAACAGTTCACAGACTGTGCTTGATTGAGACCTTCCTCACTCTCCTGTTTGCTTTGCTACACTTGTTAAGATACAGTCACATTACCCTTCCATTCGATGAATTCGCTCCACAGCCAGCCTAGAACATTGATGGGCCGTTACAGGTAATAAATAAATATTGACCAGAGGGCTCCTAAACTGAACAGTATATGAGGGTTATGCTACAGTTCTGTCTGGTAATGTGATAATGTATTAAACATGATAATGAAACACGCTAGAATAATAACTTGCGCATTTCCTAACCCAGTGTATCAGTGTTTCTCAGTGCTTAATCAAATTTGAACAAAGGTTAATTCTGATCCCCAAGTCTGCCGAAGCCAGCTGGAGATCACATTGAATTCATTCGCCTGTCGTTCAGGCTTCAATAGAAGGTAATGAGAGAAAAAGATAAAGATGAAGCAAAAAATTAGTTAGGGTTAGACGGTTAAGATATAAGTGGGTGCGCTGCTGGGGTGCCCCATGTTACATCATGGCAAGGGTGGCAAAATCTGCCACCCAACATGGGAGGCAGCAGGTGTGACACCAAATCACAATCAGATGATAATCAAAAAGCAGCGGGTGGTGTAGATGAAAAATGAACTTTAATTCAATCTTTTTGTAAGGTGTAAGCATTAGTAAAGAACCTTTTTCATTTAGATGCAGCCACTATAAGCCATGTTAAATGTCTTTATTGGTCTGGACTGTATACGTTGTTGTTAATACATGTGGTATTTTGTGTATTTGCCTCGCAAAGCCTTTGATTCAAGTTTTCATAAGCAGCATGTGCTGTTTTTCCTGCCAAACTGAAATGGATTGGAAACAACACCCTGACACAAACCAGCACTGTGCCAGTCGGGTTTGAAGTGTAACTAATGATACATGAAGTTTGATGACTTGATATCATTGCCAGTATAGCTCCATTACACAGCTCCGCAGCTTTTAATCAGAATGTAATCTCTTCCTCAAAACTATGCACTTACTACGTTTAGAAAAAGTTCACTTGCTTGCCAAATGAGAAAAATATGACAAACAAAAATATAACTAAACAAATAAAATATGCATCTTTTGTTTTTCTTTTTAGATGAAGAAGTTGGAGGTCACAAGGGAATGGAAACATTTGTGAAGCATCCAGAGTTCCAGAAATTAAACATTGGCTTTGCTCTCGATGAAGGTAAATAAATAACTGGTCACATTTTTCAAAAGTTACTAAATAAAAACATGAACACTGAATGTCACTCAGTCACTTAATAAGTTGAAACTGGGGTCACTGTGTGTGTTAACCAAGGCCACAGAAAATGATCTTGTTATTGGTTATTGGTTTTATTGAAATTTGCAATAGGGGTAAATTTAGGTCTGTAAGAATGCCACAATGTCAGTAATTTGATTTTTTTTTTGCCCATCTCTAGGCTCATGTTTCCAAAGTGAACCTGCCTGCATAGCGGTTTTTGGTACAGAGCCTGTACTTGATTTAATCTGATGTGCACAGATCAGAGAGAGTATGTGGTCACTAGGGTTAAAGTCTGATGACCAAATATTCAAATGTTATATTACTTACCGTGTCAAATTACCCACATTGACTTAAGGCCAAAGTCAAATGTGTGCTGATTTCAGTCTCTGGTTCTGTAGGTTCACTTTGGTTTACTTGCAAATCATACATCATGAACCGCTCTCCTTTGGCCCACAGTTAGTCCTTTTTATAGTTGTCTTTAAGTAAGTTTTCTCTGCGTGTGTTCTGTAGGTCTGGCTAACCCTGGTGAAGCGTTCACTGTGTTTTATGGAGAAAGGAACCCCTGGTGTGAGTATAAAATACACACAATGCAAGACAACCACACATGTGATCAGATTCCAAGACTTTCAGATTTCATCTTAGTTCTGCTTTAAACCGTGTTGGATGATAGAGTGAGTCATCCTTTA